AGAACAAAACAGCTGTTTTGGGCCATTCTTGAAACGAATTCATGAAAAATTGCTCCTTTCCTTAAAATGGCCTTAGAAATTTTCACCTTCGCGGTTTCTAGGCGCCTGACATTCATCAAGATACTATGAGACTGGAGTAATCATCCACATGTACTGAGAAAATCATACAAATCGTTTCACAGTTGACTGATTAAAGCCATGTGAAGTCTGCTTACTGAATTTACAGAAGCTCTGGTCAGATGACATGGTGCATCCTACCAATTCTGCTTCAAGGAACTAATTTATTACTCATTCAATTTCTAACGGTAAAAATGCATCCTAACACTCCCATTATGGAAATTAGTAATATTTATATGGTTACTAGCTCCGACAAGAGGTCCAATACGAATTGAATAGCAGTTAAAATCTAGCTGCAGCACTATGGATAATGTGGACATTAGGCTTATCTCCATCTTTCTCGATAAAATATATTTTTCGCTTACACTTAAATAGTTTTCAGGACAGTTCAAGCTCGTTTTCTACTCCTCCATAAAAACCTCCTAGAGTAGGATTTATATGACCTGAAATACACTGAGTCACCGACGGCTGAATTTTATCTAGTGGTGTGTAAACAACAAAGCTTGAGAAACATCAAATTCTCACACGTTCGTTTTAATAAAAACCTGACGCAGTTGGACAACTTAGTACAGTGTGACCAGCATAACAATGAGATGGATGCAGCAGAAGGTTTTTAGAATTCTCCAGACCATCCTGCCTGGTCAATTTCTGCCAGAACGTAATGCTGAACATCGGTCTTGAGCTGTTTTGCATGATGAGGCCTACTTTAGGGGACGTTGAAACGTAACAATTACGACAGCGTTCAGTCATGACGTGGCATTATTAATAGCATTCCTACGCTCCCTGGTCTATCAAAATGGATGCACTAGTCGATGACCTAGATACCAGTAAGCACCAGTTTCTGGCTTCCAGGCACACGGTCTAGCTACCTAAGATAATGCTAATGATCGCAGAGTGCCAAAACATCGTCAGGATGCCAAAAATTTTAACGTCACAGCAGCATGCCACGGATTTGGATTCGAGTCTCAAGGCTTAAGCAGTGCGCGTGCAAATGTAGCCGAGACAGGTTACTGACATGCCACGCTGGTTAAATTTAAAGCCAGGCACTTCACTGACTCGTTTCTGCCACTGTTTCTGCTCATCTCTCCTCTGATGAAGGATGCTCGACGGAGTTCGAAATGTCAGGCGAATAGAAGTCTTGTCCCAGCGATCGCATCTTTTTCTGCTCAGAAAGATCCTTTCTCAAAATGAAACATCAGACCCCAGCGCTTCCAAATTTATACATATATATACATATTATGGTATACTATACTTCCGACATAGCTACCAGCTAAAAACTATATATATCAAGGGAATAATTGCGAAAATTATTAAGTACATTACATGGAAGTATGTGATGGGAACATGACTTTAAGGAAATATTTTTTCAGGAGAATTTTCTTGAAAAGTACCCTCGGCACTCATACGAAACATTTTTATACATCCTGTTACCTTGTTGGGGGAAATTGAGTGAAATGAAAAGCCATGTAACTTCGTAGTCAAAAGCACGTGAAGAAGTCGGCAGACGCCCATCCCCACTGTTTTGCGGCCTAACGTAATAATCAACTTATTTTTGTACTATTTATGCCTTATTTTATTCTGCGTTTGAAACCGATCCGAACGTTGTGGGTGACGATTCACCAAGACATTTGGGACGGGTAATCAGCGTATTGAAATAACTACTCTTAAAGTATCAGTTTAATTAATTAAAGAAAGGGTATTGAAATGTTTAATGTAGACGTGAGGTATCTAGAAAGGGAATCTGCACTATGCAGATTCCATTTTCATCTCATTGCAGTAGAATCGGAAAATATTTTTTTGAAGGATTAGCATATTTTTGAGTCATGAATACAGTCCTTATTAGAATCTATTTCAATTTTATCGAGGTTCACTGTTCAACAGGAAATCCATGCATGTTAATCTTTATACTCTATCAAGGACAAATGCAATTAAAATTCCTCATCAAATTTCCGCTGTCGATTTTAAATATACTCATCCTGCTAATGCAGAATACGCAGATTCCGAATAAAAATGTTTATGACGCATTTGAATAAAATGCATCTTGCATGCCGCACCGATCGCAGTATGACATTTAATGAACTTTATATGAAACAAGAAACTCAGTGAAAGCCCTTTAAAACAATTATTCATAATTCTGAACATTTGGTTCACAGAAGGGTGCTTTAGAATTTTAAGAATTTTTCGTCATGAACCTAAAGATAAATACCCTAGCAGAACACTAGATAAGGTGTGGACATTCCAGTTAACTCTGTGAACTTAAGAAACCAAACGGCATTATGATTAAAAAATCATATATATATTTAGCAATGCGTAATTTTG